TAAGCACTGGTGACGGCAAATTCTGCAAATCTTTGCAGAAACGATATTTACAATTCATTGGAGGTATTAAGTTGAGAGAGGCCTTAAATCGTTTTTAAAAAGAAACGATGACCGATGAGTTAACATCGAAATTTACTTATTGGGGTCGTACAACTAATTCTATACCATTTTATAATACAAAAATTGCTAAAGTATTTTTTCGTAAGTTTGATTACATTTTTTCACAATTTATTCCTTTGTTTATATAGCATTGTTAGTATTATAGCATTAAATAAATATTTTTTCATATTTATTCATAAATATTATATTTCTATAAATTATATTATTATATTATATTTATAAGACTTATACATTTATATTTAATATCAAAGTGAATTAATTAATTACATTTCGAAATAAAATTTATTTTATATTATGTATTAAATATTGTAATACTTAGTATTAAATATTGTACTTTTACTACGCTTTTATATATCTTTTAGTGGCAGCAAAGGAATGCCTGACTTTTGAAGGACCAAAAAATCTTGCTGACTTTAAAAATGAAATCATGGAAGTACTTCGAACAATAAAACAGCACTACTCTATTGATGTAAAACGAAATTTGTAAAATAAACCTACAAGAACAACAAATAATATTGAAGATAATTCAGATAATAGTTCGAAGACTGACAATTCTGCTAACTACAAGGCTTGTGATCTTCTTTTCCCAGATGATTTTGACGAACATTAATCAGTTTTCCATTTTTATATCTTATTAGAGTTATATCATATTTTCTTTATTATATTAGTAATTTGATAACCAAAAAGACTGATATTCTAACATTATTATAGAAATTTTATATTATATCGCAAGGTGTTATTTGACGTCACCTTGGGTTATTATGAAAATTTTATGAATTCTTTGTTTTTATAGCGCTTTATGTTTCTTCGCTATAGATCTATATTGTAAAAGAATATTTTCTTGTTTGTATAGCAGTAGAACAGCTAGGCCGGTTCTAACCCAATTTCTAAAAATTTTTTGCAAAACCGTTTTTTTTAATTAAATAGTTCTCGCTAATACCCCCTTTATTAATAACCCCCTTTATTAATATAAACCCTCCCTAGAATTTTTGCTTCCATGGACTAGATGCGACCGTGACGTCACGAGAGAAAAATTGTCGAGGCTGCTGCTAGACTCGAACCCCGGCCCTCGCGGTTACTATCCAATGCTCCAAGCTCCTAGACCATCGTCGCCTGTTGCTATTAGACGTCTAGTGAATGCTCTTAGAGTGTGCACGATGACGTCACGAGAGAAAAAACCGTCGAGATGCTGCTAGACTCGAGAACCCGGGTCCTCGCGATTACTACCCAATGCTCCAAAAGCTCCTAGACCACCGTCGCCTGTTGCTATTAAGAGACGTCTATAGCGAAGGCTCTTAGAGTGCGCACGATGACGTCACGAGAGAAAAACCGTCGAGATGCTGCTAAGACTCGAACCCGGGCCCTCGCGGTTACTACCCAATGCTCCAAAGCTCCTAGACCACCGTCGCCTGTTGCTATTAGACGTCTAGCAAAGGTTCTTAGAGTGGGCATGATGACGTCACGAAAGAAAAAATAAGTCGAAACTAGGTCAGACTCTAGCCCTTCGTTTACTGCGCCATATCGAACGTCTCTCGAACATCTCTCCAACGTCTATCGAACGTCTCACGAACGTCTATCGAACGTCTAATAACCATAATAAGCAAATAAAGAAGTATTTTCATCAATATAATTAACATAATTAACATAATTAACATATAAAATTCTAAGAAAGGGGATAAGGGGAAGTTGGAAGGAAAGATGCGATCTATGCACTTAGTGCTGCATCCTGTGAAGCACTTAGTGCTGCATCATGTAAAGATATGACTATTTTTGGCTAGGTTTTCCGGGAGTTATTTATCGAAGATTGTTTAAAATGAGGGACTAGACTATAGAAGCGAACGAGCGAGGATGCTAACCACACCTCCAGCATCAGTCGCTTATTGAGACCTGTGTTTGAGTAATATCGAAGAAAGTAAAGTAGAAGGTGTCGGCGTTGATTCTTCAAATAATAATAATGAGAAGAGTGGCAAAAGTGAAGCATATAGATTTAATTTTGTGTGTATTTCCCAGTCAGAGCTGTTTTACTATGGATCGCAAAAACATAGAGCATGAAGAAGTAGAAGACGAAGAAATAGAAAACGAAGAAATAGAAGACGAAGAAGATATATTAGGTGTAGTAAAAAGAAATCCATTATTTTTGCATGAAATTGAAGGCTTTAATTATCATAGTTAGAATGATCCGATTTAGGTCAAATATGCGCCGTTTTGTTCGATAACTTGTTGCCATTTTGAAGGTAATTTCATTATGCCTCTCTCATAGAAGCCCTCGTCCCTATTGGCAAAAAATTGAGACAGTCGATTTTCACAAGCCTCTCTTGAAGCGAATTTTTCACCAGCAAAATTGTTCGCCATGGACAGGAACAGATGGTAATCACTTGGTGCCAGGTCCGGACTATAAGGTGGATGCATAAGAACCTCCCAACCAAGCTCCCGGAGCTTCTGGCGAGTCACTATCGATGTGTGTGGCCTGGCGTTGTCCTGATGGAACACAATTCCTCTCCTATTGGCCAAAGCTGGCCGCTTCTGGGCGATTGCTTCCTTCAGACGGTCCAATTGTTGACAGTACAGTTCCGAGTTAAGAGTTTTGCCGTAGGGGAGCAGCTCATAATAGATAATTCCCTGCCAATCCCACCAAACACACAGAAAAATCTTCCTGGCCGTCAATCCTGGCTTGGCCACCGTTTCCGCCGGCTCACCGCGATTCGACCACGACCGTTTTTACTTGACGTTGTCGTAAGTGATCTACTTTTCATCACCAGTGACCAACCGCTTCAGAAATGGGTCGATTTTGTTGCGATTCAACAGCGATTCGCAGATGGAAATTCGGTCCATGAGGTTTTTTTTCGTTAACTCGTATGGCACCCATACATCGAGCTTCTTTTTGTATCCAGCCTTATTCAAATGGTTCCAAACGGTTTTTTGTGCAATCTTTAGCTCTTGGGGAATCGAAATAGTGCTTACATGACGGTCGGACTCGACAATGTGCATGATTTTATCGATATTTTCGACAATTGGCCTGCCAGTGCGTGGTGCATCTTTGACATCGAAATTACCGGAACGGAATCGACGAAACCAAAATTGCGCGTGATTGGCTGTTACAGTATCAGGACCATAAACACTATTCACATTTTCAGCCGCCTGGCTTGCGTTTTCGCCTTTATCGAAGAAAAACTGTAAATTATAGCGTATTTTCTCTTTGCTAGTGTCCATCTTTGACGCGCGCTTAAACAAAACTGAGTCAACCAATCACAAAACTGTCAGAAAAGTTTTTTTAGTACGAAATCTCATCTTTCTAACGCCATCTAGTAGAACCCGATCGGACGTATACAACGCGAGATACAGATAACTAAAGCCATCTATTGGAAAAATAATGGATTTCTTTTTACTACACCTGATAAATCATATACTCACGGATGATAGTAATTATGATAGTGACAATAGTAATCAATTAGTGAATGAAAAAGTGAAGAAATTGGAAGTTTCAGAAATTAATACTTTGAGTGGCCAAACAAAAGTGTGTTGCATTTATTTTTCATATATTGGAGATATATGGAGATAATTTCATATATTGGAGATAATTTTTCATAATTCTGGAGACAATCTACGGTTCTGCACATCATGTTTTTTTGATGGTGTCCGCGATACAGTTACAGAAATATTTGCAGTGCGCGAACACATCACCGAAAGACACGATGCGATTGATGGTGTATTTTGTTTAAACTGTAGAAACCCCGTCTACCAAATAACACCATGCAATCTGTGTCCAATATATATGCACTAATATGACATATTTAAAACAGAATTCTTATATACGGTACAAAACTTCATCCAATACATTATACAAGATAAAAGAAGCAGGAAGAATGTGATAACGATATGTGTGCGTGTGTGCGTGTGCGCATATGGAAGACAGAAGATCTATAAAAAAAAGTTCAAAGCAGAACATTCTATAGTTTAGTCGAAGACGAACAGAGTGGACGCCAGACTGCTGATACCAAATCATAGGTCTACAAGCCTATTATTGTATCAGATAAAGAAAGGCACGCACTTGGGCAAAGTCCACAACGAGTCGATATGAGTTTAAGACCCAGGAATGTGTTTAAAAAAGTTCGTCGAGGAAGTTTCCTGAATTTTGATAACGGCCTGTATTTTTTAGACGAATGAAAGGTCTATAAAAAGTTCAAAGCAGAATATTCTATAGTTTAGTCGAAGACGAACAGAGCGCGCAGTTACAGTGTGTTTACAACGTTTGCTAGAAAAATGGCAGAATCATCATCATTATCATCCGTAGAACGCGAGCTGCAGAATCAGGCCGCTCGATTAGGCTCGCTAGACGAATACCTCGCATGGGAACAAAAGTGCGACGAGTGTTTCGAGTCGTTGGAACAGCATAGCCGAGCCAAACAACCACGACTATCGATTGGTTCAGCACATTCGATGGTTGCTCGTATAGCGCAACTCGAGGGTTTAAAAAATACTTTGCGCAGACGTTTCGTATACGCAGGAGCCGGACATTCGACACTTGTTTGGCGAGAAATCGATACAGCGTTCAATAGTCGCATATCAACCGGGGCGATTGTAAATACAGACTATATCGACCCTCTTCGATTTCTCCAAGATGCGAAGAATATCGTGCTCGAGCATGTGCGATGCGTTATGAAGAGACACGGTAGCGTAAAAGTGAATACTGTGTTCAACGGTGAATTTGGCGGGTGATAAACGCACGAACAAGAGCATCAATATGAGGAACGTTGAACTTTTTTCCACATCCGATCTAGACAATTGGTTCACGATGCGTATTATCGAACCCATCTTAGTGTCCTTGGAAGAATTTCAGGAACGAGATAGCGGGTGGGCACTCTCATGCATACTCGATCTGACCGTTAACGTTAACAAGTACAAACCGATGCGTGCGGGATGTCACATCGAATTACCGCGCGAAATAAAAATGAAGCGAGCTGTGATCAGTGTACAATCCAAGGACAATGCATGTTTCGCGTGGGCGGTGGTTGCAGCGTTATGTCCAGCTGACAAACACGCAGATCGTCAATCTTCGTACCCACACTATACATCGGTGTTAAATATGCACGACATTGAATTTCCAATGCGCATAAACCAAATTAAAAAATTTGAACGGTTGAACAATATCTCGATCAACATTCATAGTGTGGAAAAGAGATATAACAACATCACAAAGAAAGAAGGAAACGTGGTCGCGCCCATACGTCTCACGGAACAGAAAATGGAGAAGCATGTCAACCTGCTGCATATCCCAAATCCGCGAGATGATGATGACAACGCTGGACACTTCGCATGGATCAAGAATTTGTCCCGACTCATCAGCTCGCAGCTGAGCAAAAAGGAGCACAAGAAACATATTTGCGACCGGTAAGTATACACTAAGAACGCAATGTATAATGAATAATGCGACATATACTAATAACAAAATAATGTTTTTCCAGATGTTTGCATTACTTCAGCTCGAGCGAGAAGCTGGAAAGCCATACCGTCGACTGTGAAAAAATGAATAATTGCGCCTTGCCAAACGATGATAACAAATGGCTCAGCTTCACCAACTACTGCAGGAAGGAGCGGGTCCTGTTTGTAGTTTACGCCGACTTGGAATGCATCCTGGAGAAGGCACCGAGGGAAAAACAAACGAGTTCGTATGCGTATCAACATCATAGCGTATTTAATATAGCGTATTACGTGCGATGTTCCTATAACGAGTCATTATCCGCGTATCGATGTCGTCGCGATCCGAATTGCATCTCGTGGTTTGTCAAAGAACTTGAAGAACTAGCACATCGTGTAAAGGATATTTTGTCTGCAAGTATCTCCATGGAAACTTTGTCGAAAGAACAGTGGGAGACATTTCGGAACGCTACGCTGTGCCATGTGCGAGAAATCATTCGCAAAGGATGATACACGCGTGACCGATCATTGTCACCTGACTGGGCGGTACAGAGGTTCCGCGCATTCCAATTGCAATCTAAATTACCAAGACAGTTATTGCATTCCCGTGTCTTTCCCAACTCCCGGTCTTTCACAACTTATCCGGTTATGATTCGCACTTCATCATCAAGGATATAGCAACCGCGTTCGAAGGTTCAATCACTGTACTACCGATAACCAAAGAGAAATATATTTCGTTTACAAAGATTGTAGGAAACATTACGGATAGTAGGAATAAATGGAAAAATTGTATACAATTGCAGTTCATCGATTCGTACAAATTTCTTAGTTCTAGTCTCGATAAATTGGCGTCTTTTCTCAACCACGACAAATTAAAAATTGTTCGGTCCGAATTTTCAAATTTGTCCGACATGGATTTTGATTTATTGACGCGAAAGGGTGTCTTTCCGTACGAATACCTTGATTGCGCGGACAAGCTGCAGGATCAGTGTTTGCCACCGCGCGAGTCATTTTACAGTTCGTTGACGGGTGATACGGTATCCGAGAACGATTACGCGCACGCTGTGAACATCTGGCGGCGGTTCTCCATTCAAACCTTGGGTGAATATAGCGACTTGTATCTGAAGACCGATGTCTTGTTACTAGCCGATATTTTTGAAAATTTCCGCAATAGTTGTATCAAAAGTTACGGGTTAGATCCCGCGTATTATTATACTTCGCCTGGTTTTACGTGGGATGCTATGTTGAAGCATACGGGCGTTAATTTCGAATTGCTCACTGATATCGACATAGTTATGTTCATCGAGCGCGGTATTCGCGGTGGTCTCAGTCAATGTTCCGGTAGATACGCAAAGGCCAATAACAAGTACATGTAGTCTTACGATCCATTGCAACCATCATCATACTTGATGTACTTCGATGTAAATAACTTGTACGGTTGGGCAATGTGTCAACTGCTGCCATACGCCGAATTTCGATGGGTTGATGATGATGATGTATCGAATTTCGACGTATCATCAATCGCGCTAGATTCACCCATAGGATATATTCTGGAGGTCGAATTGGAGTATCCACAACATCTGCACGACGCGCACACTGACTTACCGTTCTGTCCGACGCGGGGCAAACCTCCGAACAAAAGGCAAGATAAGCTTCTCGCAACCTTATGCGATAAGCAGCGTTATGTGATTCATTATCGCAACCTGCAGCAGTGCACGCGTCACGGTCTTCGTATTGGAAAGATACACCGTATATTCAAATTTGCTCAATCCCCATGGCTCCGCGATTATTTCGAACTTAACACGCAGTTTAGAACACGCGCGACAAACGATTTTGAGAAAAATTTGTACAAATTGATGAACAACGCTGTATTCGGCAAAACCATGGAAAACGTTCGCAATCATGTAGATGTAAAACTGTTAACAAAATGGGACGGACGATACGGCGCTGAGGCAATGATCGCGAGACCAAATTTTCGTAGCAGAAGTGTCTTTTCGGAAAATTTAATCGCCGTTGAGCTACGTAAACTCGAGGTGAAATTCAACAAGCCGATCTATGTGGGTATGTGTATCCTTGACATATCCAAGACCTGCTTGTACGAATTTCATCACGAGTACATGTCTCCCCTATATCAGAACAGATGTAAAGTAATGTACACCGATACTGACAGTTTAATCTAACATATCCAATGCGATGATATTTTCGAACACATGAAACGCGATATTTCTAAGTTTGATACGAGTGATTATCCCGCTGATAATGCGTACGGTATACCGCTTGCCAACAAAAAGATGCCGGGTCTGATGAAAGATGAAAATAACGGAGCGATTATAACGGAATTCGTTGGACTCAGAGCAAAGATGTACGCGCTAAAGGTAGAAAACAAAAAGGACATGAAGAAGGCGAAAGGTGTCAAGACCAACGTCGTAGCGCGATATAACGTTTGATGATTATATGCAATGTCTGAGAGACGAGGTCGAAAAGCAACGTCGTCAGTCATGCATACGATCCAAAATGCACAAAGTCTACACCGTGTCCGAACTGAAAACTGCTCTGAGTCCGTATGATGACAAACGGTATATCGTACCAGACTCAACAGACACTTTACCATGGGGCTATTACAGGATACAATTGTAAACTAAAAAGCGATCATTGTGCATACATGTATATTGTAAAATTAAAGCGATCATTGTACATATATTTGTTTGTAAGAAATATTGTTAACTATAATAAAAGATGGTTTATTACAAGCTGTTTATAATAGGATATTGTAATAAAAAGTGTTTATAACAAAGAATTGGTTACAATACATTTTCTTTGTGTATCCAAGAGTTGTGCGAATCGTCAAATCCCAACCATTTCACTAAAACCTTGTCGCCGCTTTTTCGCAACACCTTTTCCACGAGATAAACGTCAGGATTAGCAGCGCGATGCAGTTCGTATTCGTAAAATCCTCCGGCAATAGACTTTCCGCGAAAATCCTCAAGCAGATAGGTCGCTGGATTAGTTGTCTGCACTTTGACGATTTTAAACACTTCGGTTTTCCAATTCGGTGTATAGCCTTTTTCAAAGATGGTTTTGAATTTGCTCACGTGTACCAGATCACCCACTTTGAATTTCGCAGGCGCAGCGATCTTTACGTTGTTGTAGACTGTGTGTAGGAGCTTATCGGCGATCTCGGGTGTTACGTCGATAGGACGCATGCCGATAGTTCGATGTTTCCGTGTGTTGTACTCCGTGATAAGGCGCGGTAACGAGTCGATCCATTTGTATGTTCCATTCAACGTAAACATTTTCCACATGGTGTTCTTTAACGTGCGGTTGAATCGTTCCACAACAGATGCCTTCATTATCGAGTACTTAGAATAATGATTGATACCATGTTTTTTAAGGAGTTTCTGCAGATCCGCATTATAAAATTCCTTCCTCTGATCCGTTTGCAAATTTTTCGGACATCTTTCAGATTCTTGAAATATCCTGGCGAATACTGTCACTGCTTCTTTATCGCTCTTGCTCTTCATCGGTACAGCCCACGCATATTTGCTCAACACATCGATAACAGTAAGTATATAGTGGTAGCCTCTATTGAATCGCGAGTAAGAACGTATCTCTACCAAGTCAGCTTGCCAAAGATCATCATATCCGCGCACTATGACGCGTCTACGGGGAAAATATCTTCTCGTTGGAGCGTGCAACTCCTCCACCAACCGATGCTTTTCGTTACCGATGAGCTGCTTCTCTGAACTTTTCTTCTTTTTGTTAAATTTTGATGATTGCTTTGCCATTGCAGCTTGTGATAATCCGTCTCGCTTATGTCGATACTATATGTCAATTTAACTATAATATTCTACTTTTATATTTTCCTTGATTGCTTTATCTCTGAGCGTGTCCAGTCTAAAATTTGGTCTATGTTCTCATGAATGCTATTCATGCTCTGTATGTTTTTCTTCCGGTAGTCTTCCAGCCAATCCTTCAATTTTTTAACATTCTCATCTACATACTGCTTCATCTCAACGTTACTCTCATGCAGTAGAAGCTTTACAGCATTTATATTCTCATCGATATATTGCTTCTTCTCAACGTTACTTTCATGCAACAGAAGTTTTACAGACTTTATACTCTCATCCACATAATATTTGTGCGCAGCGTCATTGAAGGCTTCCGGCTGCGATATTATGTATCGCGTGCATTTTTGCATCGAAACATTTGCCATCACCTTTACTATTGGCGGTTAGACAAAGGGCATTTTCATGTACATATCGTTTGGTTGCAACGTTGTTTAAATGATTTCTCACACCTGCAACACATTCTTCCACGTATTGTTTGGTTGCAACGTCACTGTCGGCTTCAGGTTGCGCTACATGTTGTATCTTGTGCGACTTTGCGTCAAAAACTTTGGCAGCGTTTAAACAAAGGGCATTTTCATGTATGTAATTTTCAACGTGTTCATTCCATTGATGCGCTTCGATCGGAGAACTGTTGCTGTATGGCAACACTCCAAACTTACGCGTCGACATTTCGGAGCAAGCTATGCTGATGCTGTATCGGCTAACTGACTGACTGACTGACTGACTCGTGTCAGTGCAGCGCTGTTTAATTTATAATAAGACCAGCTTCGCGGAGTTCTTCGATAATCGATAAAATTTCGTTGTCATGAGCGTTGTTGCCGGCTTGGCGCGAAGCGTCAAGCAATCGCAGACGATCCACCAGCTCGTTGGGATCATCCCAATGCACGTAATCGATATTGTTGTCATTTAAGGTCATCATAGCTTGCGATGCGTATAAACCTTTTCCGGCCACTTTATCGCTCGACGTATGTGATACTAGGGGCGCGATTATATTTGTTTATATATTTTATTGTTTATATGTTTATATTTGTGTCCCTTGTTACCGAGTATCGGATTTTGCGGGAGGTACCCGCGTCTGTGAGCATTCGTCGCCAATAGTATACTTTGGTATTTTTGCATATCAGCCTCGGTGTACACAGAATCGTCGGAGATTCTTTTGAATATTAGCTCGTAAAGATCGGGTGTTCCAATGTATCCTGTTTCGTCTATGATTATATTATCGTCTCTGTCCACATCGACACGTTTATCACCGAGCATCGCTCCATCGTTACTAAGACGTACGCCGTAAACATAATCTATGGTGTTATCTTTTCCACTACTTAGCACAGCTCCCATATATTTTTGACCCAACGGACCAAAATAATCATGTAAAGTTTGTTGTCCTTTATACGTTCGCAACTGACGTCTAATGGATGTCACTACCGATTCATTGGGGGTTTCGGAAACATTCTCATCATCATCATCAGTGAGTAGATTGTCGATCAGTGAAGATTCATGTGGTTCCTCATATTGTAGAGCTCCCGTCGATGTAGAAACTATCGAAGGATCTTTGAATAGTTTCCGTTTCAGCGGAGTCAATGCAGCGTGAAAGTTTTGCCTTACGCTTTATCTTTTTTTCGGATTTTAATACAATCTTTGTTTCTTCGCTTGTACTCATTGATAGTGGCTCAGTTTTAACATCAACGTTACTTTCCACATTAGCGCTGCTTTCCGCGATTTGCTTGAGAAGTTCAATAATAGGTTTAAAGTGTCTCTCCAATGCAGCATTCTCAACAATTCTACCGATTTTCAAAGCGCGATACTTCTTGCGGATCGATTCGCTCGTTTTCGCAATCTCTTCCGCTACCTTTTCATGATCCATGATCTTCACGTTACTATTCATCATTGATATATTTGTCTCGTGGACGTTGAAGATGTTACCACGTTGAAGTTGCAACGATGATTGAGCATCTCACAACACAGCAAAGTCATTAAATCCTTTCCTGTATCGTCCGTTGGTCATTGAGCTGTCCTTATCAATCACTGTGAAACCATATTTATCCTCCCAACATTTGCGACACAATGCACTGAAATCCTCATATGACATGTCGGTGTTCACATGATCGTTGTACACATGTTTCAAGTTGGTACCATCCTGTTTAAAGAGAATCAGAAAATTTGCATTGTCCCGTATAAGATGCTTGGGTATTTTTGCGTACGTTTGACAGAGATAGAAGCAGTCAACGTTCGAATGACGACCCATGGCAAAGTATTCTCTTATCATATCTTGCTTGTCACATACAACATCGTCAAAGATAAAAATAGAATTTTTGGGTGCTTCGGTCGTTGGAATCACGTCGCTGTTATCGGAGAATGTAAAGTATCCAATTTCATCTATCGGTTTCAACAAATTTTCCAAGTAGCAATATTTAGGTTGTTGCAACGATTTTGAGTACACGTACAAGTTCTCGAAACGCAGACCGTGCAGACTTTCCAGCAAGCTGATGAGAACATTCGTCTTGCCGCAATTCGAGGGACCGCATATGATG